GATAAAGGCTTGATGTTGTTGTTGTTGTTGTTGAGACTAATTAAAGGAAGATAGAAAGGGAGAGAGGGGCGGTGGCAAGAGAGGGAAGGCTAGGGATTTATTTTCAAAAAGCAAGGGTGTGATTTTGGAAAGTAGTCATGAGGTGGGGCTTTAGGAATTTCGGCCAAGAGGGGGCTTGGGGGTTTTTGAATTATTTCCAAGAGTGGAGGTTGGTTTTAGGAAATAAATCCAAGGAGGGATTTAATAGGGCTGACAGCAAAGGGGTGGGGATTGGGGAAATTAAATCATGTTTAATGCTTTCCTCATTGGGATTTACTAAATAGGATGTTGGATTTAAAATCCAATCCAAATCAAATTAATTTTGAATTTGATTTTGGAAACTTTCCTAAAATAGATTTAATAATTTAGGAAATATTTTAAATTTCAAATTGGGTGAATTTGAATTCAAAATCTGCCCAAATTATGTCAAGCTAAAATAGGCAATGGAATCCAAAGGGAGAAAGGGGTCTAGGGCCGGCGGCTTGCTAGGGTTCAGGCATGGGGCCGACGGCTAGGTGGGGATGCTTGTGGAGTTCGGTGGGTGAGGGGAAGGGGGTTCGGTGGAGGTGGAAGTTTGGGCAAGGGTGATGGATGGGAAGTAAGGCCGGCGGTGGTGGTGGGAGGAGGAAGGGGAAGAGATAGAAAGTAGAACCACGAACTTGACTCGTCTAGGTTGGTGGGTGATGTGCAATCCTCCCTCTCCTAGGGATCTCACTCCGATTTCTCAAGCTCTCATAAGAACTCAAAAAGATTGTGGAAAATTTTTCATTTAATCATTCATTAACCTTTAGAAGAAGACACGAGGGCTATAAATAGCCACGTACAAAAGACTCAAGAAATAAAAGGACGACAATGCTCCTAGGGCTTACATACGACCTCCTTCATAAAAGGGTAAAAATGAAAAACAAATACACATAATAATAAACGCTACATAACATAATAAAAGAAAACAAATACATGAAATGACTCAAAAATACATAGACTCGATCGTGGCCGTAGATCGACGGCTAGACCTTTGTTTTACTTTCCATGCTCTGATGTCCCCATCAATATTATTAATATAATTCAAGTTGAATGGTTGAAATGGAAGAATGTATTGGGCCTATTGCATGATTAAAATTACCCCTCAAAATTAAGTGAAACTTCTATAAGATGGTGGTGAGACCTGTAATGCTTTATGCTATAGATTGTTGGCCATTAGAAGAGAAGCATAAAATTAAGTATTGTAGAGATGAGAATGCTCAGATGGATGAGTGGCTTTACTCTTGGAGACAAAATGTGAAACGAGTATATACGTGAAAAGGTTGGAGTAGCTCAATGGCAGATAAGATTAGAGAGAGTCTCCTTAGATGGTTTTGTTATATAACAATCGCATAAAACGGAGGCCTTCCGATGACCCGGTTAGGAACATTGATGTATTAGATCTAGCCTATGTTAAGAAAGGTAGAGGTAAACCTAAAAAAAGACTTGGTTATAAAGCATTAGAAATGATCTTTCTTTATTAGATTTTATTAGATTTAAATGTGAATTTGACTCTTAATGGGACACAATGGAGAAGGATTCATGTTGTCATCCTCGCACAGTGGGATAACGGCTTGATGATGATGTGTTGTAATCTTTGTTTAGCTTGTGCTTTCTATATAGAAGAAATAATTGTGATTGTTTTATTTATAACTGAAGATACATAAGAGCTCATTTTTCTTAATATTGATGCAGTGCTTTTTATGATCACCTTGCCGTTGTTGTAAACTAATTGAACTTTGTTTATCGATTTAATTGGAGCTGTGTGACGAGTGGGCAACTACAGTAGTTTAAATCATAATTTACTTGAAGCATTATCATGAAAACTTATCTTCTTGCTGCATTTGCCCTTTTACCTTAATTGAGAGAGTTGTAAATTAAAATCTTTACCTCCCTGAAATTCTAATTATTTGACATGAAAATGGCACCTTGATTCAAAACACCAGTTCAATATTTCCGAATTTGTTCTGTTGAAGCCTTTATTTTTCTTTGATTTCAGTTGGACTTGGCTTATAGTTTTGGGTCTTAATGCTCAAAAAATTATTCATGAAATTTGTGATAACTGTAAGGATATACAACTGCTTACCTTTGTGGTTGGTGATATTGCTATGAGATTATGGTTGCTTTCATATATGTTGTTATGTTTGCTATATGGCGTTAATCATCTTCACATTTTATTGCTTTGTCTTGACATACTATGTTTGCTGCATTAAAAGACGAATATATCGGTATAAATTGTAGGTGCCTTCAGTGAAATAGCTTGCAAATTTGCTGACTATTCTTTGTCGGTATAACAAATACTACACTGATTTCTTGGTAGTTTTGTTTTTGGGTATTTCTTGTATTAGTTTGGCTTGGTAACATCTGACATTAGTTTAGTTTCAGTTATTTTCCTTTTCTTTAAGCTTTTCTATGAATTGCCTTGCGTTGCTAAAATATTCTCTATATGTTTCTACAATGTTATATTTTTCTCTTTATTTTTCTACAATGTTATCTTTCAGAGTAATGCATTTGGTGAATGATCATTTTTGATTTGGGACTTAACTAATTACCTAAAGAACTCTGGTAATTTGCAGATATCCAGTATTTGGCCTACGTTACAGTCTGCTAAAACATGTTAGAAGTAAACATGTCGTGTGTTTATGTATTATTTGATGAAGTACCACTTTCTGTGTAGACACCATGGTTTTGAAAATTCCACTTTATATTGTTGATATACCTTCTATTCTTTCTAAACAGAAATTTTTTATTTGATGAGCCAATTCGTATGTGCAAAAGAACATCAAATATATGCCGAGAGACTAATGTGTTTTTCAGGTGGAAAATAGGATTTCATAGCTACTATAGTTTAGAAATCGAAGTAATTCATTATGATTTCAGAAGGAATGCATGTTCTTTCTTGCTCATGGTGACTCCTAACTTTTTATATAGTTACAAATTCAGTGAATTGAAATATTTTATGAATCGTTACTAACAGGATAAACTCTGCAGTAGTTCTATCTGGAAGATTATTGTGATTCTTTTGTTTGCCAAATTTATGCAATATAAGCCTGTAAAAAAAGGTGAGATTTAAGTGTCTATGTTTTGGTGCTATTTTATGAATTCAGCTATATCTTCTTTTCTTTTTTTGAATAATCATTATGTTCATACATTACAATCCAAGCTGGTTGGTTCACCAATGAATTGGCCTGATTCTTGTTACTTTTTTGATACATCAATAGACTTAGCCGTGCTGTAAACTAGGACCTCATTGCATTCGACACATTTTTTCGGCACACAGGACATAAAATTGCCTGAGGGACATCATCTTGATTAGGTGTTGTTGCATCTCACGGCATTGCAGTTGCCGTGAATGCAAGGAAAACGTAGCTTTTCACTTTAGGATTATTAGTAGTGCTAGCTCGTGTCCTACTTAAATAATTGTGGGCTTTATTCTTTATTTTGAGTGCTTTCCGTAATTTGATGGGTGATGCTTTAGACATTTACACCTTATTCTGGAAGCTTTAGACTACATGATTAGTAAAATTCACTTTTTTTCTCATCCCCTTACCATGCAGAGTCAATAGTGATTTTACCAGAATTTGGGGTGCAGCTTGAAACTCATTATTGGAGGTATGATAATCTTAGAAAGTTTTGCTTTGAGAAATTTGTTTGACATTGAAACATGCCCTTGTGCTGTTAAATGTTTTATTTTCCCACATGTTTTTTAATACTAGTACCTGATAAGATTGCCATATTTTTGTATTCTCTTTCTGCAATTCCTTGTGTTATCTTATTTTCTTTCATGGTAAGTTTGATCTTAAATGATTAACTTTCTGTTGAATGCTGTCTTTGATTTATAGCAATAAATGAATTCTCATTATTGATATTGTCCAGTGTCATTTTTTTTTTTGTGGTGAAAACCTAACTCATTTCCAATAATATGAGGTGTCTATGATCTTTCAGCAAGCTTCATATGCATATAATGCTTCATCAATTCATTGCTCCTCTCATTGTTGCAGCATATCTTATAAGATATTTTAATTGCATGCTTGATACCTTTTTTTCTTACCCCGAATGTAAGGAGTATAATTTTAGTAATAATTGATGTAGTGGTGGGATTGTGGCATTGGATGATCAAGTCATTAAAAAGACTGCATGTTTAAGATATCATGGGGTCTATTGTTTAAAGAAATGGTGAAATATATGAGGATATTATTAGTAGAATTTAAGTTGGATGATTGAAGTGGAGAAATGCATCAGATCTGTTTTGTGATAGAAAAGTATCCATTAAACTTAGTGAAAAATTTATAAGATGGTGGTTATACCTGCACTATTTTATGGTGTTTACAATATGGGCCATTAAAAGAGAAGCATAGAATTAAGGTAAGTATTGCAGAGATGAGGATGCTTAGGTGGATGAGTGGCTTTACACTTAGAGACAAAATGCAAAACGAGTATATACGTGACAAGGTTGGAGTAGCCCCAATGACAGATAAGATTAGAGGGAGTCGGCTCAGATGGTTTGGTCACATAAAATGTCGGCCTTCCGATGACCTTGTTAGGTGACTTGATGTATTATATTCGGCCTAATTAAGAAAGGTAAAGGTAGACCTAAAAAATTAGTTAGAAAGTATTAAAAAATGATTTTTTTTTAAGATTTAAATTAGAATTTAATTCTTAATAAGACATAATGAAGAAACAATGATTCATATGATTGACCTCACGTAGTGGGATAATAATTAGTTGTTGTTGTTGCTGCTTTGATGTCTTTTTTTATTTTTTAGTTTTTTTTGAGAATGAATGATTGCTTTCTTTCATAGCTTTTTTATTGCAAGTTGCAACTTCAACCTCCTGAACGAAACCTCCATAAGTAGATACTTTAGAAAGTCCCTCCTATCAAATGCTATAATCATTTGTATGATATGCCAGACAAGTACAACTTGATATGGATTCTCACATAGAGACACAAATTCAATAAATGGAATTAATGTGGAAGGAACACAGAGAATGGGCTTGCATAAACTAGAACTAACATTTCACAATGAATTCAAGACGAAGGAATAGAGGGGGATTCATAAATTCGACTATAAACAATTGAGGTCAGGCTAATAATTATGATAGAATATATGTGCGCACGTATTTTCGAATGCCATCTACAAGTTTGGAATCACCTTTTACAAAAGAGTGTTATTTTGTACATTATGCAATGACAGATGTTGTTTAAAAGTGAAAAGATTCTTTGACAGTCCAAAAAATGATACTCAGGAAAAGATCTCAATGCACAAACAGTATAGAATATCTATTAAAGCAAACTACAGCCTTGATACAATAGATTTTTGAGGAAATTTGTTTGCACTATATCTTCTCGCTTTATCTTTTATTTATCACCTTATTGTGAAAAAATTCCTTTCTTTCGCATGTAATTCTTTATCATTTTTTAATGGTTTCGAAGAAAGGGAGTGTGTTTCAACCTTGTCTTTCTACTCAAATATTTGCAAGTAGAACGTCTGAAGCCGCAAAGGATACTTAATTCTTCATTGTTCTGCAGACATATTGTATACTAATCATCATGAATAACTGCTAAAAAATGATTATGCTTGTCTCTTTCATCATCCAATTGGATCAATCTGTTGAAAAGCAAAGGTGAATAATATTTTATTTTTTTTATCCAACAGGATATTCCTTAGCTATCAGTCTAGAATTGGAAGAAAGCTAACGAAAACCAGGCGATAAGTAGCCCAATAAAGAATTAAAAATATGAATGAAATTAACATAATCATTTATAAGAAATTGGAGAATGAATGAAATTAACATAATCTTAACATTGTAGTTGCCAGGTCCTAAGTCCTTGATGAGAGAAGTGGAGGGTTGCGTTAGGTAGCCGACAGCCAACATAAAACTTATTAATAAACATGACATGAATCCTTTAAAAAATTATGTTAATGTTAGGGTGTCTCCTGGAAGCGATGCGTTGTATGACCTAAATACAACGACAAGTGTGCAAGGGTCGCTGCACCGGCACCCGGGTGCAGTGTTAAATAGACAAGGGTTCCCACATCAAGGACGGATGTGGGAAAATATGCTAGTCAATTAAATTAAAATTAGGATAGGAACTAGGAATATAGACTCCCTTATAGAAAAATTAATGGAATTAATAGATATTATGATTCATAGGAAGATAAATATTTTGTGCGTTCAGGAAACTAAATGGATTGGAGAGAAGGCTAAGGAAATTGATAGTTTATGATATAAATTATGATATTCGGATAGGAGTCATACTAGAAATGATGTAGGTGTGATTATATATAAGAGTTTGAAGGATAATATTATAAAAATTATTAAAATTGAAGATAGAGTTATATTTTTAAAGATTGTTGTTGATGCTAAGATTGTTAATATTATAAGTGCTTATGCTTCTCAAGTAGTTTTGGATATGAGTTCAAAATTAAAATTTTGGAATGACTTAGAAAAATTAATACAAAAGATATCTCTTGAAGAAAGAGTTTTTATTTGAGGAGATTTAAATGGATATGTTGGTAGAGAGGTAGATGATTATAAAAGCATTCATGGTGGCCATGAATTTAGAACGACAAATGAAGGTGATAAGACCATACTAGATTTTTCTTTAGCTTATGATTTTTTAATAGCTAATACCTTATTTAAGAAAAGAGATGAACATCTTATCACTTATAAAATGGAAATAGTAAAACGCAGGTTGATTATTTTCTTATAAAAAATTAGATCATTTAGATGACAAAGATTATAAAGTTATTCCGAGTAAAAATTTATGTATCCAACATCGATTATTAGTTTTGGACTTTAAGATAAATTGACAACAACAACAACAACAACATCAAGCCTTTATCCCACTACGTGGGGTCGGCTACATGAATACTTTAAGATAAATTGACAGAAAATAAAAAATAAAGTAAAACAATTTTCTAGGATTAGATGGGGGCATTTAAAGAATATTAATAAAAATATTTTTGAGAGTAAGATTTTAGATTTAAGATTTTATCTGTGCATGAGGATGCTAATGTTATGTGGGAAAAAATGTCTAGTGATATTAAGATTATTCTAAAAGATATGCTTGGAGTTTCGAAGGAAAAATTTTTAATAGTAAAAATAGTTGGTGGAATTCAAATGTGCAAGAAAAGATAAAAAAATAAGAAGATTAGTTATAAAAAATGGTTTAGATATAAAAATTCTTATAATTATGAAAGATATAAAGAGGTAAGGAATCTAAGAAAGTTATTTGCGATGCAAAGAGCTTAACTTTTAATGATTTATATAATAGATTAGATACTAAGGAGGGAGAAAGATATATGTATAAGTTAGCTAAACAAAGAGATAAATTTGGTAAGGATTTAGTTCAAGTGAAGTGTATTAAGAATACAACAACAACAACAACAACAACATCAAGCC